CCCCGTGGAGTCACTGCTCGCTCCCGCCCCTCCCTTTTTCTGGGGCCTCCGAGCACTTGTCTTTGCAGTCTAGTAGTGACCTGTGCATGTCACACTTTAAGCTGTGTGGGTGACCTCGGCACTCACGAGTTTACCTGCCACTCGCATTTGTAGAACCAGCCCTGCCTGGCATCCTGCGGCTCAGCTTGACAGGTCTCAACCTGCCTGCAGCCCCGCGAGTCTGCTCTTTTCCTGGTTTCCTGTTCCAGTCAGAGCTGGCAGCTCCTGTCACCCAGACGCTTAATCCTTCTCTGGTGGCTGGCCGCACCTGCCAGCTCTGTCACCAGCTCCCTCTTGTGCCCAGTCTCCCTCCCTGGGCCAGCACAGCTGCATTGTTTGGGTCACCAGTTCTCGACTGGACCGTCACCATTACACCACGCGTCACCCTGACCTCCCGCCTCCCTCCAGTCTCAGCCTGACCTTGAGAACGGAGTGCCGGTCAGCAGCAGTACGGTTTAGAGACATGGACGGTGCGCTCTTACTGTTCCTAACGATTTCAGTTCTCCAGGGACCCAGTGGCTGCTGGCCGGAAGCAGCGCCCTGTTGGCTTTACAGGTGGGAGGGTGGGCTCGCGTAAGGCGGGAGCACGCGCTGCTCCGTGCTGTCGCCTTCCAGCTAGTGTTCTCAGCGCCGGGGCACTCTGCGCTCAGACTGACATTTCCGCAGCTTGTGCCCGAGTGGAGTTTGCGTTCTGTCATGTGTTTATTTGATGCTTCGATTTTAAAAGTTCTCATTCTTTCAAAGAGGAAGAGGAACCCTGAGAATAACTTGCCGACACGGACGTCACCTATTTGCGATGATGTTTGGTCTGTTTCCCTTGTCCAGGTTGGAGCTCATTTTCTGGAAGCCGTGGTGAGGAAGTTTGATGACGTCTACAGAAACGGAAGTGAGGGCAAAGAGTGTGACAACCTCTTCACCATCGTCGCCCATTTATATAACTTCCACGTGGTGCATTCTCTGCTCGTCTTTGACATTTTGAAAAAACTAATCAGAACTTTCACAGAAAAAGATATTGAACTGATCCTTTTAATGCTGAAAAATGTGGGCTTTTCGCTGAGAAAAGATGATGCTTTGTCACTTAAAGAACTGATCTCCGAGACCCAGGCTAAAGCCAGCGGGGCGGGCAGCCAGTTCCAGGACCAGACCAGGGTACGAGCGCGTCACGCCACCTGCTTCCTAAGTGTCTAACGCTCACAAACTGACCAGAACGTAAAATAAGTATTTGGGGTAAATATGCTTCGTTTCTTCGTGACTCCTGTTGCTGTCTGCCTTGTCCGGTTTTATGGCTGTATCTGCAATGCGTGAATAAGCCTTGTTTCTTTATTAAGAGCGCAGGTATGTTGTGAGTTTAAGAGTCAATTTATTTAACATTCATGTGCTCAAAAAAATGTTTACTGAGTAAGGTCGTGTGGCCCCAGGCTCAGGTGTCAGCCCACCTGGCGTTCTGGCTCCGCCACGTGACAGCAACGTGGCCTTTGTCTTTCCCAGTTCAGTTTCCTCATCTGGAGAATGCAGCCAGTCGTGGCTCGCACCTCGTGTGCTGATCAGAGCACGGGAGGGCTTGGGAAGCCCCCGAGGGAGGAGAGGGTGCCGCTGTGTGAGGAGCAGCAAGGGGGGTCCGTGTGGGGCACCCACAGGCCGGGCAGAGGCCGTCTCGGCCCTCATGAACCTCGGGCCAGGGCACAGTGGTGGGCAGGGTTTGCCTAGTCGCAGCGGACGTGGGTTTAGGGGTTGGGAGTGACCAGACCGGGGGCGGAGGGGTCAGGGGTCAGCCCAGGTTCCCTGCTTGGGCCTTTAGTGGACAGTAGCACACGCAGGGGGAGACCCAGACTCGAGGGAAGGCTGGCCCACTTCTGAAACCCGGAAACGAGAGCCTCTGGGTCTACAGGCGGTGTGGACCGAGCCCTCGGCAGAGGTGGCCAGTGGGGAGCCCCAGGGTTATGGCGCCGGGACCCTGGACCACCGATGCTCTTTGGGGGGGCGGGGGCAGGAGCAGGAGCAGGAAGAAGGTCACGGGGCCGGGCCAGTGTCCCAAAGAGGAGCTTTCCCTCCGTGCAGAATGCTCAGAGGTCAAGTTTAAAAGGAGTCAGCAGAGACGGGAAGTGGACTCAGTCGCCGGGGGCCGGGGTGATGGGGGTGACGGGAGTGGCTGTTGATGAGCTTGGAGTTTGTTGGGGCGGCATGAAAACGTTTGGAAACTGACAGTTGCGCAACCTGGAATATAATAATTGTGCAACTTTAAAAGGGTGTGTTTTATGGCATGTGAGTTACATCTCAGCAGAAAGTTAACATTTGGGGAGATCTCAGAGAAGGGTATTTGGGAATCCTCTGTACTGTGCTTACAACTTTTCCCTGAGTACGATACCATCGTTTAAAAGTTGAAGCAGACGGGCCAGGAGTGGGGAAGCGCTTGACTGTGTAGGGAGGAGCGGGCAGCTCGGAGCACAGGGCGTGGAGGACAGAGAGGTCTGCGGGCGGCAGCCGGGAGAGGGACTTCGGATCTCTGGGTCGAGGTCAAGGTCCTGGTGGAGGTCGGGTGACGAATTTATCCTAAAGCGCCGCAAAGCCCCGAGCAGGCTGTTCGGGTCGGAGGAGGCTGCGCCCGAGCCCGTCTCTGAGTGGCCGTCAGCGGGGCCTCGTGCGAGTCCATTGATTCTTCCCCAGGTGAAGGTCGTTCAGACAGCTCAGTGGATGGTTTTCGCTTTTGTCTTGTAAGATTCGATTCATGCTGGAGACGATGTTGGCCCTGAAGAACAACGACATGCGGAAGATCCCGGGCTACGACCCCGAGCCCGTGGAGAGGCTGCGGAAGGCGCAGAGGGCCCTGGTAAGGCGCGGCCACCAGTCCACCGCCAGGGTCCTGGCAGGAGCGGGAGCCGGGAGCACGGTGCCCTGTCTGGTTGTGCGAGTCCCTGGAGACCGGGCGGAGACTTGTGGGAGACCCTGTGAGTGGCCCGCGTCTCCACACTTAGCCCGTGACACTGGACTCAGCTGCTCAGTGGAACCCTCCGATGGCTTTGGAAGAGGGCCCGGGCCGGGGTCCCAGACTTGTGACAGTAGCATGGGGAGCCAGGGACCCGTCTGCTGGAGCCTCCCGGGCATTCCTAACCTAACGTGGGGCGCGGGGCCACGGCGGAGACCCCCCAGTAGAGCGAGCCCTTCAACTGTGGCGTTGGTCAGGTCCACAATGGTGGCTCCAAGCCCTCCCCGTCGCTGCCCCACCGCCAGCCCGACGGCGCCCCCTTGTGGCCTGAGTCTGGGCCTCTTTGTTTCGGTGCCGACTTTCCAAAGACAGTGGGTATGGGAGGATGGACCCCAAACCCCACATACAAATGCAGGGAGTGCCCTCTGACTGGGCATTACCCCAGACAAGCTGCCCCCCAGTCATCACTGACTCATCACAGTGGTCACACAGCAGATCTGCCGTCATGAGACGGAGGCGGCCAGTGGCCACGTGCAGACTGGACAGCTGCCGTGTCCACAGCTGCTGCTCTTTCCGTCAGGTGCGCAGCGCCAGCTCGGGCACGGAAGCACAGCTGCGGGTCTCCTGGGACAGCGTCCTGAACGCCGAGCGGACCGGGCGCTGGTGGATCGTGGGGTCCGCCTGGACTGGGGCGCCTATGATTGACAGCTCTCAGCAGAAGGTCGCACAGAAGCAGCTTGCAGGCACGGTATGCGCCGCGTGCTCACTGCCGCCAGGCGTGGTGCGCTGTCCCTGCGGCGTCTCACAGTGGCCTTCCCCAGAGCAGCCACCCTGGTATTCGGCAGACGTTAGCTCCCTAACAGGCGGGCGGGGCTTACCGAAGACCTAGAGCTTGCTCCTTTTGGTATACAATTTAATTAAGTTTCTGTTGTTACTTTTTAGAAGATTTGTTTGAAGACCCAGAAAGTGTTACATAAAAGACTTCAAGGTTGAGGGAGGGGAGCAGACAGACACCTTGCTGACCAGGGTGTGTGGATGCTGAGCCATTAACCGTGGGGTTCAGCGTGTCCAAATTCTCTGCACTTTTTTGTATTAACTGAAATCCGCGTCATTCGGATTTCTTTTTCTTTCCCCTGATATTACCCTTTCTCTGCCCTTGTGCTGGCTCTTCCAGCTGTGACCACTCACCTCTTTTATTTCATGGTTTCTTAGGCTGACCGGCCGCACTGCTCCGGAAAGCCTCCCAGGCCCAGCGGTGTTTGCCTCCGGTGTCTTGCTGTGGCTCTCGCTGGTTTCCCTTTGTGGGGTTGCCCAAGCATTTACGTACATGTGTTTACGTGTCACTTACAGTTCTGCTTAGGTCAAGCCACAAAGTCACACAACGTAGTTTTTAGATAGCTAACTTGACCGAAACAATGGCGTGATGGTGCCTCGGCCACTCGTCCTTCCAGGTTAGCACGAAGATGCTGGACCTCGCCCGTAAGCAGAGAATGAACACCGATGTCAGGAGAACCATCTTCTGCACGATAATGACTAGCGAGGACTTCTTGGACGCATTTGAGAAGCTTCTAAAGTAAGCATTTGTGGGAGCATTTGACCAACATGCTAGCTGACGATGTCGATGTGGGAAGAGCCACGCTCGCACTCTGGGGTGGGGCTGCGCTGTCCGCCTCGCGCCCCGGGGCCTGGCGCCCTGGGCTCCTGCCGGCTGCCACTGCTGCTCCCAGCGAGAGCATCTCACAAGACGCTTTCATTGAAAGTATTAGACGACCGACGAGATTCTCGGAGGCCGTTGGTTGTCATGAACGGCTGAAAATCTTCAGATTGAAGTTGTCTTTATAATTTTAAAGTAAAAACTTCCTGGTACAGTTTCTGTAATTGTCATGGATTTTAAAAGTACCTGCGTACTTTTATAAAGTACTGCTAAGTAAATCTAGTATTAATTTTCTTTATTTGCTTCAAATTCAGAATGAAACGTAGGGAAATTTTACAGGACTAGAAATGCTTGTCCAAACCCAACCCTGCACAGTAAAGGACGGATTTTCCTGTAATAACTTGTTAGACCATATGTTTCTGAAAAGAAAACAAGAAAGTCGCTGCGTTGGCAAGAGCTGACTCCACGGGCCCGCTGCGCAGCGCCGGTCCTGTCACTCACTCGTCCGGGGTCAGTTACAGGCCTCTGCAGCTGGCACAGAAGTCAGGTCGGGTGTCTCTTCCCAGTTCACATGGTCGAAAACACGGGCCGCGGACACCGGGATAGGGGCCGGCCTGTCGCTCCTGTCCTGGCGCCCACCTCTGCTCTGCTCCCCATTACCCAGACTGCGGGGCAGGGCGAGTCCTCCGCTGGGTCTCTGCCTCGAACCTGGTGAACTGTGGCAAGTGGGAGCTTGGCCATCGCTGTTTGTGTCTTACAGGCTTGGACTTAAGGACCAGCAGGAGAGGGAAATAGTGCACGTCCTCGTGGACTGCTGCCTTCAAGAGAAGACGTACAACCCGTTCTACGCTTTCCTGGCTGGCCGGCTCTGCGACTGTGAGAGGAGGCTTCAGGTAACTTGGGTGCGAGGCCGCCTGTCACCCCTGCCCTGCACTGAGCACCTGCTGGGCTCAGCCCACCTCTGGGCGCCCCGAGCCAGGGGTCCACCCTGTGCAAGAGCCGTGTGCAGGGGGCCCATCTCGGGTCCGCACCGCCGCCCCAGGGAGAGCAGCTGGCACTACCACAGCGGAAGCCGTGTCCGCCACACAGCAGAGGCGTCACAGCCCTGTGAGCGGGCTGCCTCTCTGGCTTTACTCCACACCGTCTTTTGCTGACATTCTTTTCTGACGCGTCTGCTGAGGTGCAGTGTCGCCGCAAAGCTGTCCCGGACGGCCATGCCCAGGGAAGGAAGCGGGGACGCTCCAAAAGCCTGATCTCTGCCTAGCACGTCACAATTAAGTGACTGAGCAGGCGCCTTTAGATTGTATTCTTAGTGATTTATTCTAATAATTGGTTGCATTTAAATTTCTTTTCTTTTTTCCTTATTGTCTTAGATGACTTTTCAGTTCAGCATATGGGACAAATTTCGAGATTTAGAAAATTTGCCAGCCACTAACTTTTCTAACTTGGTTCATCTGGTGGCCCACCTACTGAAGACGAAGTCACTGCCACTTTCCGTTTTAAAGGTTTGTACAGTAGACGGAGTCGTCAAGAGCAGCGAGGATGATGCGCCGTCGTTTCTGCCTGGCGCGTTCCCTTAGGTTCTGAAGGGTGTGCGTCGCCGTCGCCCTCAGAAAGCAGCCCGACCCGCCGGCACTGGGGGCTCCCCGAGCACGTGACGGCACAGCGACAGCCGTTTCCTCATCTCAGTGCGTCTCTTTCAGGGGTGGGGTTCCCGTGCAGGCCCTGACGAGTTAGGAGGAAGGCGGGGTGGGGGCTCCAGCTGTCCCCCCTTCACTGTGGGGTGGTCAGCGGGGTCCCGTTTGCACGCTGCGTCAGAGCCAGTGGAACGCAGGCGCCTGGGGCTGGTCTGCAGGGGACGGTGCAGCCGCGATGCGGGAGGTGGCTGCAGGTGGCCAGCGAGGCCCGAGCAGGAGGCCTCTGGGGTCTCAGCGTCCTGAGGGGCAGAGATCAGGTTGCTGTCATGTGATCTATTTACGTTTGTCGACGCAGTCACCAGAGCATTTACACTCAGGGTGACCTGTGTCTCTTCAGAGTGTGGTGCTGGGTTTTGGCCGCTGTACTGAGAATGAGGGCACTGAGCCTGATACAGTCAATTTCAAGGCCCGAGCAGGAGGCCTCTGGGGTCTCAGCGTCCTGAGGGGCAGAGATCAGGTTGCTGTCATGTGATCTATTTACGTTTGTCGACGCAGTCACCAGAGCATTTACACTCAGGGTGACCTGTGTCTCTTCAGAGTGTGGTGCTGGGTTTTGGCCGCTGTACTGAGAATGAGGGCACCAAGCCTGATAGAGTCGATTTCCGTCGTCCCCCCTTATCCACGGGGGACACATGCCAAGACCCCCAGTGGATGCCTGAAACCGCGGTACACCCCGTGCGTGCTGTGCTCTCTCCACGCACACGCGCCTGTGACACGGTCGGTTTGTAGATGAGGCGCAGGGAGAGGTTAACAGCGGCAGCTAACGCTAGACCAGTCACGACGCCGTGGTAAACGTGTGGGTGTGGTCTCGCCCTCTCTCAAAGTACCTGGGTGTGCCGCACTCACCCTGCGATGACGTGAGAGGACACAGTGCCTGCGTGACGAGACAAGGCGACGTGAATGACGCAGGTGTGGTGACACGTGTCGGTCCGCTGTGGACCTGACTTCATTCACATCAGGAGCGTCTGCTTCGGGGGAGCCCGGGTCCTCAGGACAGTGCTGAGGGCTGGGCGTCGGGCGCGGACCGTGCAGGTGATGGGGAAGTTTAACGTCTGACGAAGGCTGACTGCGGGTGACCGAAACCGCGGAAAGCGAGGCCGCCAATGAGGGGGCCCCGCTGTGCCCCGCTCCGTAAATGGGACTAACTTAAAACACAGGAGTCGAGCCTGCTCGTTGGGGGACTGCGTCCTGCCTCCGCTCCGCTCCCGCTCTGAGCTCAGCGTGGCCAGGACGTGGTCTCCCGTCAGACGCCAGCGGTGCAGCAGGACCGGGAGGCGTGCCTGCCCCTGCACCCCCCTCTCCCCACAGCCTGTTTCCCTCCCTGGCGAGCTGGGCACACTTGCTGTACCTGTGCGTCGCAGGCACACGCGACCTCGTCTTGCGATCTTTAACCTCTGGAACAGTCACGTCAGGCGGTTCCCATGCTGTTGGTGTCCTTTTACAGTTCTTTCGAATTCAGCTGAAGTGCGAAAGTTGTCCACGTTGGCGTCCGTAGTTCTGTCCCCCGGTCTTGTTACTGCTGGGCGGCACCCCACTGTGCGAGGGCGCGCGCGTTCGCACACTTCCTGGGGGGTGTGTGTAGCTGTGAATCAGTCTCAGGTCAGAGTGTGTGTGTGTGTGTGTGTGTGGTTTAACTAGCGGGGAGTTTCCTTAGGCGTGGACGTGGTCTGCGTTTCAGTTCTAGGGATGAAATCCCTGATTCAGACGGTGCGCACCCCGGCCAGCAGGAGGGGGTTCCCAGGGCCCTGCCAAGCGTGCTCCCTTTATAAAGCTGGAAATCCCCCCATTTATACCTTTTACTCTAATTATGTTTAGAGAACACTGAAAAAGCTGTCTCAATCAGTGTAACTGTTTTTCTTTCTATGTCGCCTCTTTTAGGTGGTTGAATTCAGTGAATTAGACAAACCCAGAGTCCACTTTTTACGGAAAGTGTTACATATTCTGTTAACGGAAACAGAAGTTGAAGATCTTGGTGTAATTTTTACAAGGTACGTTCCCAGCAGGTTCAGATAACACGTGGAAAAGAGATGAAGCAAAACTTGTCACTTAACGTTAATTTGTGCAAAGCAAGGTTGTCGTATTTTGCATGTCGCTTAAATCATTTTCAGCTTTAGTTTTAAGCTAACGCCTTATACGTTAGATTTGGGGAAAACGAAACCCTCCTAATAGCAAACTAAAAATAATGTTTTGCAAATGCAACATATGAGCTCTGCACCAAGAGTTCTGTTTTTAGAAGGAGCGAGGTTCCACCTCCCCAGTGGCGACTCCAGACGGGGTACGGGGGCAGACGAGCGCGTCGCTGACGCCTGCACGGTTCCTTCGCAGGGTGGCCGACAACCCGAAGCTGGGCATGCTGCGCGAGGGCCTGAAGCTCTTCATCAGCCACTTC